CATTACTACTTATTTTGTCTGAAGCTGTAGTGCCAACGTAGGAGCTGCCTATCCGTCTAACAGCCTCTTGGCTGCTCAGTCGTCGTGCACATTTGTGCGTGGAGCGTTGAGCTGGAGTCTGTCTGGTACTCTGACAGGAGAAAAGCTCTTGGCTCCGAATCAGGCTGTAAAAAACAGCTGAACGAGAGAGGAAAATAAGCTATCAGGCTCAATAAATTAACAACTCGTTTAGCTCTTTTACACTGCTGGATGTGCGCTCGAACGCAAAAACTTTCAAACGTGGTGAATGTTTAAAATCTTTCGAAGCGGCACAAAACAATGAAAAGCAACAATTAATAAACGAAACAGCAAAAGGAGGAGGAGGGCGGGTGAAGGTGGAGATGGAGGAGTTATAAATGAAGAACAGAGAGAAAGAGAGAGGGAGGAGGAGGAGTGCGGCTTTGCAGTCATTAATTAGCCCGTTAGCTAGAGCCCGGGCGGTGCGGTTAGGGCCTGCGTCTTTGTGGGCCTGAAGGAAATGGGCCACATATGCGAGCCATTATAAGAACCGACTTAACAAAGACACATGCCTGTCAGCCACCATGGGCTGGGCCGCTGTGCGCACGGCGCACAAAAGGACCGCCACCGCTGCGTTCGTGTGAGCGGGTCTGTATCAAAGTTTTTCCACTTGTGTGTGTGTGTGCGCGAGGAGAATGCATGTACTGTCCACATGTGTGTGATTATCTGTTACTGTCGACTGTGTTAAGTGTAGGAACATGCATCTGAGAGTGTGGGACTGTATCCATCTAAAAAAAAAACCAACCAACAACCCCGTATCTATGTGAAGAGATGAACCACCGTGATGGTTTTGTGGTGCGTGTTGTCTCTTTCATGTGAGCGGTGTGCGTGTTTGTAACAATATCTATCAGAATGAGGCCTCGGAAGCATTTCTTTAACCCCTGGACATCCCCTGCTGGCGCTCCGCACCACTTAAAACCACATGACAGGAAACCTGGGTCACTTTGAACTAACACGCCTCCCCCCACCCATATGAGCTGACAAACACATTGACACCATCCAGTGACTGAAGCAGGAAAAAGTGACACAAAAAAATGGCTCCAGCTAGGTTTTTATAGTCTGCATTCATAAAGTTTTCACATATTAGCGCTGATCTATAAACTTTAACATGTAATTTTGAAAAAATGCTATCGGCTATAGCTCGGTGACTTTATTTGCTGCAGTGATGCAACCATTAAGCCAGAAACACAGAAAAAACTGCAGCTCTTCACGTTTTTAGGCAAAAAAAACTTTCCCGTGGATTTCCTATTTCTTCCATCTGGACAATGTTTTTTCACATGAAGATGTGAACAACAACTGGCACTTTCAGAAAAAAAAAAAAAAAAAGTGGTTTGCCGAACTGAGGCCCATTCTTGTCAGCTGAAACAGTAGCATTTGGTCAGCTCCTCAGAGTATTGGCCTGAAACGAGCTCGAGTCTGGAACTGATAAGTAGAAACAGACTGTTGCAGCGCTGCCTGTGTGTTTAAAGCCAACACACATCCGACACAGCGTAAACAGCCCGTACCCAAGTGACTAAACCCTGGAGCTTAGCCATAATAATTCTAAACCTCTGTACAGTAGATGCACCATATGCTTTTTGCTAACTTGGGTCTGTTTGCCAAGACTTGCTATTGTTCTGGAAAGTACTTAAATGACGAAAAGTTGCTGCAAACTCCACAATGAGCTAAGATTTTTTAGCATCTTTATAGTGAAAACAAATGTTCTTGTTGCTACTTTATTTTACATTGCACCCTTTCTTAGCAGAAAACGACGTTAATAGTGTGGATGTTTATGAAGCATTCACACTATTGTGATACATTTTTATTCCGTACATTTTTCGGCATCTTTCTTGTTCCACAATTCAACAAATCATAAAATCAAAACTTTCAGGACAATCCTTCTATGAATTTTGGTTTTGGTTAAACTTTAGTTTTTTTTTAATATTTAGCCTTTTCTGCCACTTTTTGTCTAATAGAGACTGAATTGAGCTCATGTTACATCCTTCAAATCTTTAGACCTGTTTTCAACCTTTTACTGCTCCGTTCATGTTTTGTTCTGGTTCAGCTTCTTTCAGCTTCCTTGTGCAACTTTAAACTTTTTTCAGCTACTTTCAGCTAATTTCAGCTGTTTCTTTCAACTGTTTTGTGCTCCTTTCAAAGTCTTTATGCGAACTACAACTTTTTTGTGCTTCTTTTAACTTCTTTCTGCTGATTTTAGCTTGTTATGCTCTTTTCAGCTTATTTCTGCAAGTTTCATTTTTTCTGCTATTTCAGCTACTTTTGAGCTGTTTTATGCAAATTTTATTTTTTGCTAATTCCATATTTTTTGTACTCATTTCAACTTTTCAGAAAAAAATGTGCTCTCGCCACTTCCTTCTGGTTAATTTAAGTTTCTTTTAGAAAGTTTTAGCTATTTTTCAGCTGTTTTTTGCCAATTTCAGCTTTTTTTTTCAGATAAATTTTTAGTGCTCGTTTCTGCTTTGTTCAGTCTAAATGCGTAAACATCTGTTATTTCTGCAAACTTAAGCTTATTCTACATTTTCAGCTACTTTTTAAAAAGCATTTTAGTATTTTTCAGCTAATTTCAGCTGTTTTCAGATAAAATCACGTTATTTTTGGTGATTTCTGCTACTTTCAGCCTAATTAACTTATTCATGCCAATTACAGCTCCTTTCAGCTAGTTTCAGCTTTTTCAGCCACTTTTTAGCCCTTTTGGACTAAATTTAGCTTTCTCAACTACTATTCACTGTTTTAAAGCCAATTTAAGTTCCTTCCACTTCCTCCTGGTAGTTTAAGCTTTTTTCTGCCTTTTCAGCTACTTTTCAGCTATTTATTTATTTATTGCTAATTTCAGCTTTTTTGGCTAATTTCCTAATGATTCTGCTCATATCTGTTTATTTAAATCTACAGTAAATCAGCAAATACATGTTCTTTCTGCTTTCTTTTGCTAACTTAGGCTTGTTCTTCAATTTCAGCTCCATTTCAGCATGTTTTTAGCTAATTTCAGCTGTTTCTCAGCACGTTCTTCAGCAATAAGCATTCACACTGCATTTTCGCAGGAAATGCAAGTTCTCTAGTTTCAAATGTTTTGGATTCGAGTTACTCTGAATTGGTTTTAATCTGTATTTACAGCAGACTTTTTCAAAGTTGTGCATGAAAAGAAGACGCGCTCAAGAGCTTTGTTTTCCACACATCCCTTCATCCTCCAAACCGTTTCGACACAGTATCCATTGCTTCACAGCATGGAAGAGGATCCAAGCAGGAGTCGGGTTTTATGGTCTCTCTTTCTCCCCCGGGGCTAAGAATCCTAATGAAGTCCGATCTGAGCTTTATTAAGAGCTAAGAGTGAGGTCTAGCAGAAAAAAAAAAAAAAAAACTAAGGGAAGAGGGAGGGACAAAACAAGCCTCATTAACTCCATCACACCTCCAGAGCACATAGGGAGATCCAAAGCTCTGGAACGATGGGGGGTAAACTGGATACGAGGCTTGACTGATCACAGCACCAAGTGTTTTCAGATCCTCTTCGAAGCCGATTCAATTTAGCAGTAGTCTAACCACTTAAAACAAAATAAAAAATAAAATAAACTGATCAAGCACATACAGGCAAAATTCCCACGTGGCTACGAGCCACAGCGTGCAAATTTGCCAGCATTTGCTTCACAGCTGGTGGTAATGTCTTGGTGGATCTGTGTGTATATACAGTGATAATAAATCTAAACGTGGCTCAACGAGACAGATGCCTGAGAGATAGAATGACAGAAAAAATGGGGGAAAATGTAAAAAAATAAAAGGAGACATTTCTTGTAAATGTACAGGATGTAATAAGGAGATTTGTTTTATTTGCAGAAAAAGTGCAAATATAGAAATAACAAAAAGTAACAGCTGTTCACAAACAGGTGTGGAGGGAAAACAACGTTTAAAGACAGTGAATGTAGTACATTTTAGGACAAAGAGGGTAACTCGTGTTGATGTACAGTAGTACCTCGCTACTTTGTGGTACGACGTTCACGGACTCGCTCTTTTGCAGTTTTTCAACGATTGTCAACTTTAATATTACTCTGGTGATTGGGACGGTCAGAATAAAAAGTTAACAAAAAAATCTTGGAGCAGGCGCTGCCATTTTGTTGCTTTCTTTCAATAAGCTTATACTGTATTTCCAGTCCAAAGAACTACATTACCCAGAAGCCAACAGTGCTTCCAGCCGCTGCTTTCTGCCGAAAAGGAGGGAAAGTTTTGATCTGATCCAAACCTGACTAAAAAGTTTGGTCCTTATTCATAGTGACTTTGGCGCTCAGTGGCTGCAGAGAGTCATACGGAACCGGACCAGAACCAGACCAAGGCTGGTGAGAACCCATATAAAGTTGTGTGGTAGCTGCTGTGCAGTACATACATGTATGTTAAAATTATGTAGGTTTAAGAGTTTAGAACATTGCAAGAGTGTGGGAAGGGTTTACAAAGCCTTAAATATATAAAAATGCTAAAATAAATATAACGTTCCTACTTCACGGTCTTCCACCTATCATGGGGATGTGTGGAACGCAACCCCCACTATAATTGAGGGACTGCTGTACAGACAACTGTGCAAGGGGAGGCCTGAAGGATTCTGGGATACTGACTTCTGGTTAATCATTGCAACAGTGAATCCATCCAAAATCATGGTGGATACTTTATCACCATTGTGTATGATTGTGTGTCTGCAGGCTACTATTCATGGCAACCTAATTAAAGGTCATGACCCCTTGTGGTGTTGCCATTCTCCAATCACACATTGACCATAGAGGTGGAGGCAAATCATCAATACGATCATCCAGGACAGATACTAAAAACAAATTCAACTGAGGGGAAGGAAAGGAGGAAGAATCTGAAGTAATGAGCAGCTGGAAGTATGCAGTGGGCGGGAGGTAAAAAAAACAAAAAGAAGCAGAGATGTTTGTGATGTTTGGAAGGTGTGTCTGCAGACTAACCTGGATCTGTTGCTGGAGAATGTTGATCTTGTGCTGTTGCTGCAGGAGCTGCTGCTGTTGTCGAGCAATCTGCACAAACATACAAACACAATGAAGTCGAAATTTCACCTGGCGGGCAAGTATCGTGGTACTTTTTGACTAAACTGGAGACTGATCTAAAACATACAGGTCTATTGCTGTCATAAACAAACAAACAAACAAACAAAACAGAATGGTCTCAAGATTCAAGGTTCTTTATCGTCATTCAACCACATGTGGTACATGAGGTGGAACAAAAGTGTGTACACGGGGTCCCAGTTACATCCAACAAAAGTATAAAATGTAAAAGAAAAACAGTAATAAGATCTAAGATATGAACTATGAAAAACATGAACTAAATACACTAACTAGTAGTACAAAAAAAATGCTGAACAGCAGCCGAACAGTAGCCGAACAACATTTTAAATACAAAACTGCCTCGTTTTAAGGTGAATTATTTATGTATGTCTGTAGTAATTATGGGAAAATATTGTTAAAAATGGAATACTATATCAAATATTTTGTTGTCACATTAACACAACTTAAAAATTGTATTGTGTTGACATGGAATTTTTGTTTTAATACAAGAATTATTTTGTACAAACATGAATGTGACGTGAAACAGGCATTGTTAGAGCAATATGTTTTCATCGTTACAAAAAAGGATCAATTGTTTGATTTTCGCTGCGTTGACAGAAATAGGTTTTTGTATACATTTGTAAAAAAAAGTGTAAAATCAATTTATCTTACATTTGAGTGAGAAATAAATAACTATTAAGATAACATACTGATAAAAGCTGAATAAGTCAAATTGAAAAAATTAATAATTAAAAAAACAGTTTCACCCTGAAATTACTGATCAAGTTCACGATGAGGTTGAAAACTGTTGATTTGACTCAAATTAGATAAAAAAAAAGAAGTGTCAGTGAACTACACATCTGTTTGACCTCAGATTATCATCTCCAAGGAGATTCAGCAGAATGAGATGAATGAGACGTGCAAATTGCAGTTAGGAGTGCTAAAGGACACATTTTGTACCTGGAAATGGACGTTTACTACGACTTTCCTCTGAGCTCCGTTCACACACATGAACTAGCGACGCTCTTCTTTTCTTGCTCCAGCTGCTGTTTTCAACAGAGTACGATAATAGTGTGAATGTTTATGAAGCATTCACACTATTGTGATCCATTATTTTCCCGTACGTTATTCGGCATCTTTCTTGTTCCACAATTTTTGTGCTATTTCAATAAATCATATATCAAAATGTGAAGGGTACTATGACTTTTGGTATTGGTGCAACTTTAACTTTTAGAAATGTTTAGTGTTTTCTGCCATTTTTTTTTTTCTCATAGAAAATGAATTGAGCTCATTTTACATCCTTCAGTCTTTAGATGTGTTTACAACCTTTTACTGCTCCTTTCACATTTTGTTCTGGTTCAGCTTCTTTGAGCTTCTTTGTGCAAATTGAAACTTTTTCCAGCTACTTTCAGCTAATTTTAGCTGTTTTTCATACGTTTTGTGATCTTTTCAGATTCTTTTTGCAAAGAACAACCTTTTTGTACTTTAACTTCTTTCTGCTAATTTCAGCTTATTTATGAAAGTTTCAACTTTTTCTTTTATTTCAGCTACTATTTAGCTGTTTTATGCATAATTTAGCTTTTTCGGTTGGTTCCACATTTTTTACACTCATTTTAACTTTTTTTCAACTTAATTCAGCAAAAATCTGCACTCCATTTCCTTCTGGTAATTTAAGGGTCCTTCTGCATTTTTAGCTACTTTTCAGCCGTTTTTTTTTTTTTTTTTTCCTAATTTTAGCTTTTTTCAGACAATTTAAATGTCATTGTTCTCATTTCTGCTTATTTAAGCCTAATTGGGCAAACATGTTCTGATTTCTTCTTGTAATTTAAACTTTTTATACTCTTCCAGCTATCTCTTTAGTATCCTTTAGCTATTGCAGTTGTTTTCTGATAAATTTAAGTGTTTTGTGGTAATGTTTGCTACTTTCAGTCTAATTAACGTTTTTGTGCTAATTTCAACTTGTTGTGCTCCTTTCAGCTTATTTATGTTAGTTTAACTTATTTCAGCTAGTATTTAGCTGTTTTATGCTAATTTTAACATTTTCAGCTAATTCCACATTTTAGCTCATTTCAGATCTTTCCACTTCCTTCTGGCAGTTTAAGCTTCTTTCTGCCTTTTTAGCAACGTTTCAGCAATTTTTTGCTCATTTCAGCTCCCCCCCCCACTAAATTCCAAGTTTTTTGTGCTTGTTTTTGCTTATTTTAACTTATTTCAGCAAACGTGTGCTTTCTACTTTCCTCTTGTTCTTCCCTTTCAGCTACATTTTAACATGTTTTTTAAAGCTAATTTCAGCTGTTTTTACAGTAAGTTCTTATGCAATAATCATTCGCACTGCACTTGTGTAAATGCAGTGTGAAATGCAATTTCTCTATAAAGTTCAAATCACGTTAAAGTCTCATGCAGAGAGGGAAGAAGAGGACCAGCCAGTGAAAATCCTTAATGGGGCATCACGTCATTTATTCAATCTGAACCATTTTGCACCAAAAACTAAAAAAAAGTTTAGCCACCGTTCTTCATTTCTGTCCTTCTCTCTCGCTCTCTCTTAAGGAGTTGTTTAGTATATTTATTCCGAAATGTAATTACAGGCTGCTGAATTGAAGGCGGCGCCCCATTTGCACACATGTCATATTTCATTAAAGGCAAATTTTTCTGGGTTTGTCTGGAGGGCATTATCCTATCAAGTCTCAACAGCAAAATGTCTGATATTGGAATCTGTCTTTTCTTTTCACTCTCCCCATCTTGCCTGTTTCTTTGTAAAGCTGTGAAAAGTGGTATGTGTTTTGATGGGAGGTGTGGACTTGTCCAAACAGAGCCTGTCGTATGCCAGCCCATCGTGACATGTCGACAAACAGCAAAAACAAAGAGCAGCGCACCTAAACACCTCTCAGCCTCAGGTGTCCCCCTCCCTCTCCAACATTACGCTGGTTCAGTCAGACAAGAAGATTCACATGTGCATCAAAACATTTGTTCTTAAACGTTTAGGCCACATTCGTCCAAAAAAACTCCACTGATTGAAGGAAAGTAGACGTTTTGTTACAAGTGTAATGGTGAATGCAGACAAAGTAAAAATAAATCTGTCAGGCGATGATTAGAAATTTAGCAATTTAAAAAAAAGGCCTAGCTTTATCTTCTCAAAATTTAACATAATATCAAGCACATGGTTTAAATGCATAAGCTTGAAAAAGATGCATTAAACAAAAAGTTTCTAAATCTGCTTGGTCTTTATCAGCTGTTTTCTGTGGATTTCCAGTCCAAAATACAACCTTTTGTAGGGGCTGTACTCTAATCCTCCAACCCTACAATACAAATGGTCATGTGACTATTTTCAGTGTACTGATGAAATTAAACAACGGTGGCACAGTTGGTAGAGCTGTGACTCTCAGCAAGAAGGTCGCCGGCTCAAATCCTGGTCCAGGGACCTTTCTGGATGGAGTTTGCATGTTCTCTCCTGGTACTCCAGTTTCCTCCCACAGACCAAAAACATACGTTAGGCTGATTGGTAACTCTAAACTGTCCCTAGGTGTGAGTGAGAGAGCAAATAGTTGTCCCTGTGATGGACCAGTCCAGGGTGTCCCCCACCTCTCGCACAGTGACTGCTGGATATGGGCACCAGTGACCCCCGTGACCCAAAAAAGAAGAAGCGGGTAAAGATAATGGATGGATGTTTAGTGTCCCCACTAAAACCCATGGTCAGGCTCTTCCTACCTGCTCCTGCTGCTGTCTGGCCAGCTCCATCTGCTGCCTCTGCTTTTCCAGCTGTGAGGCGGCCATCTTTTTCTGCTCATCCTGGGCAGAGAGAAGCTGCTCCCTCAGACCGATCAGCTGACTGATCAGGGTCGACAGCTGGTGCTCTTTTTCCTCAAGAGCCTCTGGAGTACCTGGAAAGGAAATTAGAAAGACTTTTAGGTTGAAGTAATCAGAGGATCAAACATTTTTTTAATGATTTCTAACAGAAAAAAAAAGTATTTTTTTTATTTTAAAGACAAACACAAGTAGCTAAAAGATTTATAGTTATATTTAGATTTTCTGTTACTCTTTAAAGAAAGCAATAGGACGAGCTTCATAGATTGAAGCATTTTCTCTTTTTTAAAAAAAGTTTCTTATTTGTAGAAAATCTCTGAATCAAAGCACACCTCCAACAAATTCCTCCATAAATATAAAACATGCTGTTAGACTAGCGCAAGACGTTTTTTTTAACAACTCTCTTTCCTCAATTCTCATGAATCTCCTGACTTGTTGTTACATACTACTTATTATCCACCGTCTTGTCTCTACATGTTGTAACCTACTGTCTGCTCACAAGAACAATAAAATTACTTTGAGTTAACCTGTGAAAATAAGCAGCTGTTAAAAGCTTTTGTCAGGTTATGATTTAGACATTCTTGGGAGGTTTGTGGCCAACGCCAGTTAGATTCCTTATTCCATGCCTTTCTGGGAAAACAATTACACTGTCGCAACAACAAAAGACAAAAACAATGCCAATATTTTCCCGTCAGTTGAACAATCCTCCAAAAGAAATGAAACAAAATAAACAGAATGCATGTTTATGTTAAATAAATTTGACTTATTATTGTTCTGAGTCAATCAAGCTCCATTTAAAAATAACCTTTACTTAACTTTCTCTATTTTTCACAAATATTGGATATGTACTTTTACTTAGCCAAGGGGTGCCACAAGCCAGGACATATAAGGAGTGTCGCATCAAATGGCCATGACATAAATGAACAGGAATACGTTTTTCAAAATTGGATTGGTCCAGAATGCTAAAGATACACAGAGATGGCAGTATGTTGGGGCAACCATTAAAGAATGAAATGAAGGAAAATATTTAAAGTTTTGCACCAGGTTTTTCTGACATATTGTAAAATTACTTGCTGGAGTCAATTTTCTGATCAATGCACATGAGTTGGAACATTTACTGGGAGGGAAAGATGAACAGAGACAAATTAAAAACCTCACTTTACCATCAAATATTAACCAAATCCAAGATATAGTCTGTATGGAAGAACACTTTCCATCAACTGGTCAAAGTTCACAACATAAATGTAACAGATTAAAAGGGGCAGAGGTTGGTGCTCAGTCTTGTAACCTAAAAGCTGCAGGTTCAAGCCCAGGTTAAATCAGGAAGAGAATCTGGCATAAAACAAAAGATACATTTACAGTGTTTGCTGTCTGCGGCAACCCCTGCTGAAGAAATTTTAATTTAATTTAACTTTTGTTTATACAGGTAGTCTCACTGAGTCACAAGGACTCATTTTCAAGAGAGACCTAATTGAGAGCAGATGGTGGGGGGTTAAAGGCCTTGCTCAAGGGCCCATGGTGGGGCAAGGGAGGGCGGAGGTAGGTGTGAGTGTTTCACCTTTTCCAACCGCATTTTGACGTTGTCGGAACGGGGAGTTGAACCGGCGACTTTCCAATCACAGGCCCCGTTTTCTCTAACCTCTGCACCACCACTTCCCAGTCTAAGCCCTCTCCCTGTGGATCCTGCGGGCCAGCTGGATTCCTTTGGGCATGATGGTGACCCTCTTGGCGTGGATTGCGCACAGTTTGGTGTCCTTGAACCGATCCACCAGATAAACTTCACTGGCCTCCTGCAGAGCCATGACGGCCAAGTTATGGAAGTGCAGGTCGGTTTTGAAGGCCTGAGCTATCTCGCAAACCAGACGCTGGAAGGGCAGCTTCCAGATCAGCAGCTCGGTGGACTTTTTGTAGCAGCGGCACTTCCTCAGAGCGATGGAACCAGGCCTGTAGCGGTGAGGCTTCTTCACTCCATCGGTGGCCGGAGCACTCTTCTGGGCAGCCTTGGTTACGAGCTGCTTCCTGGGAGATTTACCTCCGGTGGATTTACGGGCGGTCTGCTTGGTTCTGGCCATTCTTATCTGATTGAATACTTCTCTGTAGAAGACTATGTGCAGTAACTGATAACTGTTCTGTTGCACATCCAGTACACAAACAATTTCTGCATAAAAGAAAAATCCAGATACAGGGGTGTGCAGATTAAGAGGAACCTGAATTTAGTCATACAAAGAGCTCACCTGGATTTTTGGGGCACCGCAGAGGGAGTCTGGGAGTGGCAATGATCACCCCTATAACCCATGGCCCTCATTTCAACTAGGCAGTGTTATATGCATTATATTGTTTGTGAAAATGAACATAAAGAAGCGGACATGCCTTAGAGGACCATCAGCCTAACGACTGATCATTAGTGCCCTGTTGGCCGCTGGCTGTTCACAGAGGGCTGAGTGATTCTAGCAATGACAGCATTGTAAGAGATGGACAGATGAACACGGAGGTCTCTGCCCCTGTTTAATGATGAATGGTTTATCTTCACAAAGACTGCTACAAGTCACTTACAAGGTCTGACCAAAATGTGGTGAAATGTGGAGCTGAGCTGTAAGGCAAAGTTCTCCGTTTACCATCATCCGTGAAAGACATGGAGTAGAATTGCTGCTCCTCCACATCGAGAGGAGCCAAATGAGGTGGTTTGGGAATCTGGTAAGGATGCTCCCATGGCGCCTCCCTAGGGAGGTGCTTCAGGCATGTCCGACTGGGATGAGACCCTGGGGAAGACCCAGGACACACTGGAGAGACTACGTCTCTCGGTTGACCTGGGAACGCCTTGGGGTCCTCCCAGAAGAGGTGGCTGTGGAAAGAGATGTCTGGGCCTCCCTGTTCAAGCTGCTGCCCCCACAACCCAACTTCAGAACAAGTGAAAGATAATGGATGGAAGAATGAAAGATGGCTACAATTCACTTACAATGTTTGACCAAAATGGCTCCTAAAGTGTAAAAGTCCAGTATGTAAATGACAAGCAAAATGCAATTCTTAAAGGAATAGTAGTTGTTAAAGACGCGTGCTGGCTGCGGACCACCGGATCCGGAAACCCCCTCCAGCCCACATCTTTACCCCCGGCGCGAACCTCCCTCAGAAGTGGCAACTATACTAATCAATAAATCAAGGAAACGTCAATTAAGTTTTACCAATTATATTAGAAAAGGCAGGAAAAGATTACAATTCACAGTGCTGGACTCTACAGTCCGTGACGTGTTCACAGACCCACAAGAAGAGCCTCGAAGTCCCGTGTCATTACTAATTTATGGGGTCCTAGACTCCGCCTTTCGCAGAAGGGGAGCTCAACCTATCCGTGTATTAGGGGGCGTGGCTAAGTGTGATCTTATGTGGACTGACGTGTTAGGAAAATATGAGACGATGCTTCAAAGCCTTTCTACGTGATGTGGCAAGCAGATTAAACTATTTGACTGATATTGAAATCCCAGAGAGACTCTCTTGAGAGCTGCTGGCCCAGTTAAACCCAGTCAGAACCGGGTCATAATTTCATTATAATCCCGCCTCCGAGCAGATCAAAACCATAGGACCAGTCTAAATAAGAAATATCGTAACATAGCGAACATGTGAATGAACTATCCAAACCTTTTGAACAGCTCTTTAAAATGAACAATGAGAATCAAGTCACAGACAGTTTAGAGCCTTTTGTTTTCCTCCTTCAAGCTCCTTCTTTGCCGTTCCACTGTGGCGACAAAGAACAGGCAACAACCGGAGCACAGCAGATGTATACATGGCGAAAAGGCTGGAATACTCAGAGGGCGTTACGCTTGACTGTGCATGTGTCACATAACACATGGACTCGTGCACATGTACTGAAATTTATCATGTTTAGGAGTACTTGAACTTGTGAGTGCGTGCCTGTGCGTGCATGTGTGTGTGTGTGTCAGGGGTTGCCTTGGGGCCATGTAGGGAGATTGCAGGGTGGCCCCAACACTACCTGCATACTAACAGAGTGTCCATTGTAGTCCTGTCAGGCCCCTATTGTACCTCTGACTACCCCACACCACGACAACCACCACACACACACAAAAGGTACCCCTTAGCACCCTGGTATCAAAAGAAACATTCTCCCCTTGTTGTCTCTTTTGCTTCAAGCTTTTTTCCCCTCTTTCTGATTTTCACCCCTCAAACTCCATATCAGTTACTTCCAAGTTCAGATTCTCCAGTTCAGTTATTCTCCTTCCTTCACATCTCTGTTTCTAGCTTCCACTTTTGATTCATCCCTCTTTTTTCTTACAACTCATTCCCAGATTTATGTCCTCCACTGTTATTTTTTTCCTTCCTGTCTTTTAGTTTCTCTTGTTTTTTCTACTTTTATCTTAGGACTTCCTTTTCCTTTTTACTCTGCTTGCATTATCTGCCGGTGGCATGGTGGATCAGTTGGTATAGCTGCCTTATCTCAGTGAGAAGATCGTCAGTTCAAATCCCGGTCCAGAGGCCTTTCTGGGTGAAGTTTGCAAGTTCTCTCCATGCATGCATGAGTTTTTTCCTCCCACAGACCAAAAACATGCATGTTACACTGATTGGTAACTCTAAATTGTCTCTAGGTGCGAGTGAGAGAGTGAATGTTTGTTTGTCTCTGTGTCCCTGTGATGGACGTTTGACCCGTCCAGAGTGCCCCCCACCTCTCACAAAGTGATGGCTGGACATGGGCACCAGAGACCCCCACGACCCGAAAAGGAAGAAGCGGTTAAAGATAATGGATGGATGGACACGTTCTCTGCTTTTTGTCTCATTCTTATCTCCTTAAACTTGTCTGTTTTTCTTCTTCTTTTTTTGTCATTTACATCTCCTCCCTTTGCTGTTATCACCACTCTCCACTGTCATTATTTCCTCTTTTTTCACTCCTCCCAAAGATTCTTTGGCCAATTTAAACTTGGAACACTAACGGATACTCTACAATCCTGTCATATTTTAACACACAGACACAGAGAGAGATGTTGTGTTATTTCCCCCCACATTTCTTGCAAATAATTGAGGCCTATTGTGTAATCCTAACAACTGCGATTACAGTTCCATGATTCATCTTTCAGGATTACCACTTGCGCATACCAAACAGAATCCCTCGCGTTCCTTCAACATTTTTGGCACCAATAATCATGTGAGACGTTTCCGTTTGTTATCCATCAGGATTATGAGTGACACCTGCTGAGGTCAGCAGCCAAACAGAAAGCTGTTGACTGTTTTCTCCCTCTGTTTGGATGACACGGATCATTAGCGCTGAAGCAGAACTCTGTGTTATCCTGATGCATGCTCAATAATCCCTACTACTATGCTCAATAATAATCTGTAATTGTTATTTTTTCCTTTTTCACATTTACCGTATTTGCCGGTGTATAAGCATTTTTGCATAAATATGCAAGTCCTGTACACCAAAGCGACTAATATACGTAATATATATAATATCTTAATATATTTCCCCCCATATTTATAACCCAATTTTTGGCTGAGATCTGACAATTTCATTCATTCTGACATGCAAAATATTAAACATTAAGATCTGCAGCCACTAGAGGGCCCTCAAGTAATATGGCAAGCCAAGTGTCTCATTAATGGATAAAAGTGGCTATTAATAAGACACTTGGCTTGCCATACAAAGCCACCTTTGTCTAGCTCCAGAACTCCTGGAGCAAACGTCAAATCAGCTGCATTTTGCTGTGCCGCCCAGGTGAAATGCAGCTGATTTGACCATTAAAGTGCATTTATTAAGGAAAAGTTTAACTGAGACACACCTTTAATGTAATGATGAGCAAACAAATAGTTGTGTTTGTGTTAATCTTGTTAAATTCTTGTTAAAGTCCTCCCTTGCACGCTCCAGTAACCGCCATTTGGCAGCCAGTTGATTTTTGGTACAACACCGGCCCACGTTTCTGGGTGGTCAGCGGTGACGCGTAACAAAACGCGACGCGTCAGTGGTAACGCATAATAGATGCGACTCATACGACAGCAAGTACAGTACACATTTAGGTATATTAACAGATCCAGTTTTTATTATGTTAAAATAAATCTAACTTTAGTTAAATGCTCTTTTTGATTTTATTCAAACTTACATTGATATAAAAAGTAGCTTTTTTTTGAAGAAATGCATAAAACTTGCTGCCTTGTATGAAAAAAATCATGCGTTGGGGATGACACTTACATACTACCACATCAAATTTAGCTCATTATCTGTAAAACTGACTGTTAAAGCCATGCTGTGTTTGCTGAGACTGATTAGCTGTGTCATCCATCTTACTTTCTGAAAGTTTTATTAAAATCTGCCAAATGATTCATGGGAGTTTTTGCTACATACAGACAAAATTGTATTTACTGTACGTGGTTGGCCACTTTTCATGCAGCAAGTGGTCGTTATTCACTTGCACGTCTTTGAATTTGTAAACTAACATAGCTAAATGTTCTATTAGACAAGTGGATTGGTACGCAAACGTGGTCCCGTAGCACCGTCTCACTATAAATTTCATGAATCCGCTGTCTGATGAGGACTTTCTGTGGGATGTTTTCCTCCTTAAAAGTCTCCTAATCTCCTTGCTCTGTTTAGAAATTCACGTTTCGCACTGATCATAACATTTTGCATAAACTTTTGATTTCAGTGTGAGCCTTGACCGTTTCGTCTTGGCCACCGGATGGATTGGCAGCGTGTCTTGTTTGGGTGCAGAGCCCAGATATTTGCCAATCCCAAACTGAATAAAGCATTTGAGGGAATTGTAGGGAAAAAATACTGTTTTTGAAGTCACACAACATATCACAAGATTGTGCCTCAACCACATCCTTTTAAAAACACTCAAATACATAAAGAAACCCTCAAAAACTAGCAGAGACGTGGACTCAGTCATCGCCTGGTCACACCATCACACCTCAGCTTTGAGCTTCTGCCAAACCATCGTGTTTCCGAGCAAATAATGATTCAACTCTTTTCCTAATCTGTGCGTTTGGATTTTTCTCTTTTTGATTCATGTCTTCAATTTCTCCCACAAGAGGCAATCAGAGGAGTCAAAGAGATCCAGGTTTTTTTTCCCACTAGAAACTT